TAATTCATTGCTAGTCCTCGAGAAATCAAACTATGCATTCTAAAAGTTTCTCCACTTAGCCATCTCCCCTAACGCTTTACACTCAGAACACTTTACATACATTAAACCTAGCAGTTAACAATCCTAGCCTCAAAGGTTGACTCTCAAGTGCCATGCAATATTCATACTTCCTCAACATACTCTACACAAAAGTCAAGACTTGGTTTTCCGTCATGAATCATATGCCCTCACAAGAGAAGTCAACGCAAATTTGAAATCAATCCACACATTCGAGTCATATACTCACATATATCAAAGAAAATTGCTCACTCCCACAAAAGAAGTCACATGCATGTAATTGGTACCATAAGCTTTCCCTTAATGTAAATCTCTATTAATATAAGCTTGCTCGCCCCAAAATCAGTTAGGACTTTTTCATGGTTGTAATGTGGTCTAAGGGACGGGTATGATATATTTAAGAATAGTGACTAACCCTCCTAAGCACTTTAACACATAACAAGAGCAATTTTCGCACACATTCTTCAACCCACTTCACTTTCACAAACAATAACAACTTATAAATACTCCCTTCTTCTGTAAGCACTATATTATTTCATACCCACTAGCTGGAACTAGACATAATGTATTATTTTTTTTAGGTTTCCGCTAGTGGTGTATTATTCTACAAAACAAGTGCACCTTTCTTCCTTTTATTGGTTCCACTCAAAAGCCACCCTACACTTATTTCCTTCTTACTTCGTTTGGCGCTCATCTCACATTTAAAGTGCTTTAAGAGGTAAAAGGATCAAAACGATGTCAATTAAGAACAAAGGGTATAGGCTAGTAATGCGGGTGCCAAACAAAAGTTTATAGGCTCAAAAGGGTTGGCTAGGGATAAATTTTATTTGTGATAAGCCATTAAGCTCAAAAAGATCAAAGAAAACCTAAAATCATTTTTCAAACCGAGTATCACCCAAAATTTCGCTTCAACTCACATACCGGGAAAGTTCTAGACACAAGTACACTACATGGACTACACAAAAACTCACCACACATGGAATAAGACCCATTCCAGATCAGCTCATCAAGACACTCCGTTACGAGCATTCAATTCAGCAACAAACATACAAATTAAGGCACTTTAGTGAGATTCAACAAATAAGACTAAGCGTTAGACTATAGGGTCTATTGTGTTCAGATGTGTCAATGCTATGAGTTCTCTTTTGATTTTCTAGCGCGTAGCCCATTAACCTAATCTACAACTCAAAAAGAAAACAAAAAGAAAAACTACCTATACCCGGTTCAAGTTAAACCCTTGGAAAAGAACCGTGGCCTCAAGAAAAACCAAGGGGGAGTTGTTACACTATCTAAGAAAGAAAAATAAAAAATCTTTTTGGTGTTTTTTCGAGACTAACTTCCCTCAAGAAAGTTGTCTAAAGGATCCGTCATCAGGAAGAGTCTACGTATTGACTTCCTATATATTTTTTTTCTCGACTCAGTCCCTCAAGAACCCTGTCGACAGGGATCCATCGTCGGGACGAGCCATGTAATTGTTTTAAACTAATGATTTCTACTCAACATCATCAAACGTATCAAAGCAAAATGAAACAAAACAAAACAAATAGTCAAGTGATATAATCACATATATACACTGAAGGAATCCCCACCCCACACTTAAAAATGAAGACATGTCCCCATGGCTTAGAATTTTAAAGAGCAGTGAGGTAAAGGTACTCCCCTGAAGGCTCACTCCTGGTCGGAGACGGTGTATGGGTTGACATGGCACGCATGACCCAGAGCTCGCAGTCAGCCCATGAATTTCTTTTACGACTTCACTTGTCAGTCAGCTATCGCGTCGACTCGAGTGCCAAATCAGTCACCGAGGTTTGCAAACCAGCCATCTCTGCCTCTATTGCAGTAAAACGGGAAACCCGGGCAGCTCTTGAAGATGTTGCTGTCCCCGAGGGTCCTGCTGCTGCCACATTTTGCTCCTGAACTGGCGGTGCTGTCCCCATGTTCTCCTCAACATCCTCTCCATCATGAGAATTATCAGAGCTACTGCTTGCAGACTGGCCACCTCCCACCTCCAGTACTTCTGGCTCCTTGCCCGTGGTCACCTTATCAGCACGGAATTGGCCTTCCCTTTTTACCAACCCATCCACAATTGGATTTTCAAGCACCTGCGCATCCCTGCATAATTGAGTAACTAAAGACGGGATAAAGAAACCATACCTCTTGACTTGGCTGCGAACGAATATCTCATCATGCATCACTTTGGACACATTGAAGTCGTAACCATTTCCAAAGCACCAAATCAATGCAGCACGGGGTCCATTGACCTCTGTAGTATTGTGAAATGGAATCAAGCAGTTGTTTATGAGGTGCAGCCAGCACTTCCCTTCAAAGGTGAGTGCTGAGGAATGAAACTTCTCCCCAGAGTCCATCCAGATCACTTCTTTCCCGGGTGCACAAATTGTCTCAAAGAATCGCGCCTATTTTTTGTTCGTTGGGTTGTGACCGTATTCAAAGAAGTCATCATAAGCAGCTGGAGGTGGAGGCAGCTGGTAGGCTGTTCGTATCGCCTCCATAGAAGCATTCACTGCCCTTCGGCGCACCATGACTACTCCATTATCATGCTCCGGCACATTTGCATAAAATTCCCGCACAACCATTGCATTTCCCTTACCGGGCTCATTGATGAATGTGTGCAAACCCCGCCTCACCAACTCCACGTACATATAAGGGCAGTGTCTCTGGAGCTGTCTGACATGGATACCTCTCTCCGGAATTGGCTTTTTACGAGCCTTTTCCCCAAAACGGGGCTGAGCATTGCCCGAAACAAATCTGGAGCTGTCAAAAGATCGTGCGGGTGCAGCCCCCTAGGACCGAGATGAGCCTGCCCGACTGCTCGATGAGGCCCCTGTGGCGCATATTTTCCTAGAGGGAGTCATGATACGTGCAAAACGGGAGCACATTAGCCCAACCCAACAAAAATATTGTGACTTAATGCGGTTACTCAGACTTCACACGCATAAGTGGTCACAATGACATAATCATGCTCATTGGGACTTTTTCACAAATACCTTGTGAGCATTAGGCATTCACAACATCTTTTAAGGTTTTGAGAACAAGAACCACCCCCATACATCTACCAACAACACATATCAAGGGGGATTCCACCCCACACTTATTATCCACCAACACTACGACATCTTGCACCAAGTTCTCTACAAAATCTAAGTACAACTACTACAACATAGGCCTAAGAATACAATAAACAACTCTGAAAAATAAAGAGAGCAAAAGAGAAGAAAGAAACTAGGGCTCATACCTGTGGTGAAGGAGGATAGGGAGGATGCTAGTGAACTCGGAGGG